AACAATGTGAAGTTCACCTTATACTCCAACAGAACAAACCTCTTTTTTTATATTTCCAAAATAAAACTGGAGTGAAGTCCAGCAGCTACTATTTGTTTTAGTGCACTCAACATCTCAGAAAGAATTTAGCATATCAATCTAAAATTGAACAGATACCATTTTAAATAGTCACAGTTTATGATTTAAAAAAAAAAAAAAAACTTTGAAGAAAATCAGAGATGGTTGAGCAGAAGGTCCTCGATAATTTAAACTGGAGTGAACTGATTGAACAGACATGAACAAAAGTTTATATGCACTTGTAAAGATGATGTATATTCTACAATTGTACAATGTCATTTAGCAGACGCTTTCATCCAAAGCGATGTACACCTGAGAGCAGATACAACACAAACAAGGATCTAATCAGGAAAAAACACTCTAGATAAGTGCCATAGAACAAGTTCAAGTGTGACAGGGTGTTGAAGCCAATAGCAGGCTGAGTGGGAGGGACTAGGAGTTTTTTTTTTCTTTTGTTTGTTTGTTTTCAGTCTGTCAAGTGCAAAAGTGTTCAGTGAAGAGCTGGTCTTTAGTCTTTTCTTAAAGACTGAGAGGGAATCAGCAGATTGAACAGAGTTTGGTGACTTGTTCCACCACCAGGGAACCACAGAGGAGAAGAGTCCAGCGATCAACCTCGGGCCCTGTTGTGGTTTTATCAGGTGGTTTTTGTTGGTTGAGCGTAGTGAGCAGAGGGAGTGTAGATCTGAATGAAAGAGTTCAGGTAGGAGGGAGCTGTTCTCGTTGTGGTTTTGTGGCAAGTGTCAGAGTTTTGAATTTGATGCAGACAGCAACTGGAAGCCAGTGAAGCAATCTGAACAGCAGGATGACATGTGCTGTTTTTGGCTGGTTGAAAACCAGACGTGCTGCTGCATTCTGGATCATCTGCAGAGGTTTGACCGTGGATGCAGGGAGGCCTGCCAGTAAGGAGTTGGAGTAGTCAATGTGTGATATTATTAGAGCTGGTACCAGGAGTTGTTGCTGCATGTTCAGACAGGAAAGGTCTGATCTATATCAAGACAGTAGGAAGTTCATACCTGTCAAGTTTTGGATTTGAAAATAAGGGAAACTTTGCAGCGCCTGCCGCGAGCCATCCCACCACCCAACCAAGCTCCAGTGTGCCTCACATGTTGAAACAGGTGTACAAGAAATCTAAAATCACCACTTGTCAACCACTTACTAACTACAGTTGGGTGATCAGAGTCTGATAGACCCACCTTTGTTGACATTGAAATGCTGTGAGTGTTCCTATGATATAACACAGACAAAATGAAACGGTAAACAACAGGAAACCAAAAGGGATATGAAGCACATTTATTTATTTGACATATTTTCAGTTCAT